ATTCCTGCTTAGCAGTCCTTCCTGGAATAGCATCCTGTGGTCGAGGAAGCCAAAGCTCTCCTGGCGACACCATTGTCGCAGCCAGGCATTCACCTCCAGGATGCTCCTGTCTCTGCCTGGGCCCCTACCTTTGACAGGAAGGATCCTAGATAATGCCACCTGTGCTCCAAACTCCTTCACTGCATCCTAGTCAATATTGTTCTCCTGCTTAGCAGTCCTTCCTGGAATAGCATCCTGTGGTCGAGGAAGCCAAAGCTCTCCTGGCGACACCATTGTCGCAGCCAGGCATTCACCTCCAGGATGCTCCTGTCTCTGCCTGGGCCCCTACCTTTGACAGGAAGGATCCTAGATAATGCCACCTGTGCTCCAAACTCCTTCACTGCATCCTAGTCAATATTGTTCTCATCATTACCGTTTTTGTATGTAACTGAATGTTTTCACCATCTGTAAACAAAACCACAAAGACTTGCCAACCTCAGTATGCAGACAGCAAGATCTCTTGGTGGAACTTTGTGCTGGGGTATTTGTTGATCAATATGGATTAAAATGAGGCCTACAGTAGGTCATGTGTGCTCTCGGCAGATTGATTGGTGTCCCGTGATCAAGATCTATTAGTTTCTTCTAAGCAGTACTCTACTGAATGCTGATTTGAGACCCTTGCCCTGAAAACTGCTGAGCTTTTGCATCCTGAATTTCATGGCCTTTAATGAGAGTTGAGGGCCCTCAACCCGCCACAGGAAATGATCAAACTCCTTGCAGTTGGCCCTTTTTGATTACCAAATATAAAAAGGAGCAAGCAACATTCAGATGACAGACTGAAAGGCAGTTTTATATAACTATGGATTTCTATTAATTATTTTAAACTTAATGTCTTAAAGTCACCACTGGCATAGCTTTATTGATTTGATACAGTGACATCCAGGCTGAATTTGATTTGATGTGACAGTTATAATATCAGTAATAGTTCATATTCAGAGCATATTTTTATGTCCCAGAGACTAACTTGTACTTGCCTCTATCTGCGACAGACAGTTTCTCATTCTGAGAGGCACTTCCCTATGCAAATGGGGGGTTTTGAAGGTACAAAATGTGCACAAGTACTCTGCGTACTGTAAGAGAGGGTGGGAGGCAAATTTTCAAACCCAGACGCTCAGCATTTGCTTCCTATCCTGTCTTACAGTATTCATTTGTACAGCAAGGACAAGTGGCTATGGCACTTGACTAGTATTCAGAAGATGTCGGTTCCATTCCTGACTTTGTTCAGGCCTGCTTGGCAATCTTGAACAAGCAACTTACCTTTGTCTGTGTCTCATTCATAAATTGTGGATAATATTTACCTATTTGGTAAACTGTTTTAGAAGTATGGCTGAAAAACACTATATTACACCTAGATATTGTTATTATTAGTCCCAGTGGCCTCCAACCCTGACTGGGGTCTGTGGGCCCTACCAGAATACAAATTATAAATAATGGTAATTAATATGAATGTGGTATATAGATTGGTTTACACTAGAACTGGATGTGAACCCAATAGGGCAGGTGGTTAAAACCTTTTTGGTTTTGAATACTAAAGAGTTTTGCTGAGAATTTTGTTATGAATTTATCCATATTTCTTGTTTAATTATAAATATTTGGATGACATTTGTATTTGAATCAGACAACGCTTGTAGCCATCTATGAAACATAATTCAGAGATCTTGATGAGAGTTACATTTGGAGGAACAGTAAAGTTTGCATGAGTGTCACTTGCCTCTGGCTCCAGAGGGACACTGAATTAGGACACTATTCCAGGATTAAAATACATTGCTGGCCAACCATCATCAGCTCATAAAAGTCAGAGATCTCCAGAGGGCACAGGATCCAAAGTTAAGACTATGTTGTAGGAGACATGGAGGTCAGAAGCACTCTGTGCAGTACTGGGTGCCCAACATTCCCATACTGTTAAGACATTTCCATATTCAGAAGGAATGGTACAAGGCAAACATTCCAGAGAAATCTTTCAGGCTGTTCTATCAGATATACAGCTAACTACTCTAATTAAAATCTACATTAAAAACTCACAATAAGAAATTTGGGAAACTGATATAAGCTAATTTGATCTTTTATTTCAGCCTATAAGGAAAAGATGAAGGAGCTGTCCATGCTGTCTCTGATCTGCTCCTGTTTTTACCCTGAACCTCGCAACCTGAACATCTATACATATGATGGTGAGTAACCTTCACTGGAAGTAATCCTGCTTGTTAAAATATTTGGCAGTGCTGGGATATGACTCATTTCACCCTCACAGTTTGATATTATTTAATCAATGCTTTGCTGATTTAACAATTCACTTGGGGCATGTCTAAACTACATCCCTCTTTCGAAAGAGAGATGTAAATTAGACAGATCAAAATTGCAAATGAAGCCAGGATTTGAATTTCCCATGCTTTATTTGCATAATGGTGGCCACATGTTCTTTCGAAAAAGGTACTTCAAAACAGAAACCGCTGTCTAGACATGGTACTCCTCATTTTGAGTACAGGAGTACAGGATCTTTCAAAAAAGGGGTTCTACCCCCAAAAAAGAACTACGTCTAGACAGTGGTTTCACTTTCAAAATACCTTTTTCGAAAGACCGCGCGACTGCCATTATGCAAATGAAGCACAGGAAATTCAAATCCCAGCTTCATTTGCAATTTCAATCTGTCTAATTTACATACCTCTTTCAAAAGACGGATGTAGTTTAGACATAGCCTTGCTGTTTCTGGTTGTTAGTTCCTACCAATTGCCTATTCCGCATCATGGTGACCCTTAGATTCTAAAAACATTACTTCAAAATCTCATTTTAAAAAGCCGGCTATTTTATAATGATGTATGGTGTATTTAGTACCTCAAGAAATGCTACCCATCCAGGAAATTGCAAATATTCACAGCTGATTCATTTCTTAAAAAAAAAAAAAAGAGCGAAAAAGAAAATGTGCTTTCCCTAGTAGGCATCAATGAGGGAAATCTTAAATTATTAGTAAACTTGGAATTCTGTCACCCAAGCTTGGGAAACCATATTGTTAAATTGATTATATCTGGGGATTTTTGTTTGTGAGTGGATACATGGGGGTCATGATGGTAAACAATTGAACTACTTGAGGAATTGCATCTCTGAGCTGCATGGGAGGCTGGATAGCAGTCTTAGCACCTGCTTCAGCAACAAAAACAGTGGAGCATCACTAATTCCCTGGGGGGTCAAGAGCTATGCCTGGCCCTCACCAGCATAAAAAGGAGGCAATTTTGGAAGAACATTTTTAAAAAATTAGTTTAATCTCTACTCAAAGCTGCTGGATTGATAGCCTTAGAAACAAATTCTTTATCCATCCATAGGACAGGTACAGCAGGAAACAGTCTGTGCAAACTTCCCCAAGTGATCTGATCATGACATCTCAGCCTCAGATGCATGAATAACTCCAGTTCCATCTACATTCCAATTCAATACTTAGTTTAATTGCTGAGATAAGCAGCAATTTGGTGCCACATTGACAGTGAATTCTCTCAAGTATGGACACTTGTTCATCACTGGGCTGCAATCACCAATTAATTTCACATGACCATGGCCACATGCAGATTATTTTTGGTCAAACAACTGCTTTTTAATTTAACTTTAGAAAGCCAGATTAGGTTTACAAAAGTAGGTTTATTATTATTAAAAGTGTCAAAGGCAAATTAAAGAATTTTTCACACCCAACGTTATACATGTATTTGTCCATACTAATCTCCACTGTCACACATACACACACACACACACCTTTCTAGTTCCAAAATGCCATACATATTTATCTTTATAAGATTAATTTATACTTGCACTTCAACTAACAAAAGGAAATGTACCTCTCAGAAGAGCCATTTTCAGCACATTCTCAGCAGTTTCCTTTACATCGCCAGAGTATGCTATTTTCTCCTCCAATGGTAGGTTTAGCATTTCTAATTTTGTTTCCTAGATATGGAAGTTAAACAAATCAACAAACGTGCCTCTGGCCAGGCTTTTGAACTGATCTTAAAGCCACCATCTCCTGTCTCAGAAGCACCACGGACTTTAGCCTCTCCCAAGAAGAAAGAATTGTCCCGTGAGGAGATCCAGAAAAAGCTGGAAGCTGCTGAGGAAAGGAGAAAGGTATCTTTACTTTTTAGAAGAAATTAGTTGTTGTGCCTTGCCTTATGCAATTGCAGTAAAGTTTCCTATAGTTTCTGATGAAAAGTCACATTGCAGTAATGACACACCTCTCGGGGTATGTCTACACTACGGCACTAATTCGAACTAATTTAATTCGAATTAGTTAATTCGAAATAAGCTAATTCGAATTAGTGCATCTAGTGCATCCTAGTCAATATTGTTCTCATCATTACCGTTTTTGTATGTAACTGAATGTTTTCACCATCTGTAAACAAAACCACAAAGACTTGCCAACCTCAGTATGCAGACAGCAAGATCTCTTGGTGGAACTTTGTGCTGGGGTATTTGTTGATCAATATGGATTAAAATGAGGCCTACAGTAGGTCATGTGTGCTCTCGGCAGATTGATTGGTGTCCCGTGATCAAGATCTATTAGTTTCTTCTAAGCAGTACTCTACTGAATGCTGATTTGAGACCCTTGCCCTGAAAACTGCTGAGCTTTTGCATCCTGAATTTCATGGCCTTTAATGAGAGTTGAGGGCCCTCAACCCGCCACAGGAAATGATCAAACTCCTTGCAGTTGGCCCTTTTTGATTACCAAATATAAAAAGGAGCAAGCAACATTCAGATGACAGACTGAAAGGCAGTTTTATATAACTATGGATTTCTATTAATTATTTTAAACTTAATGTCTTAAAGTCACCACTGGCATAGCTTTATTGATTTGATACAGTGACATCCAGGCTGAATTTGATTTGATGTGACAGTTATAATATCAGTAATAGTTCATATTCAGAGCATATTTTTATGTCCCAGAGACTAACTTGTACTTGCCTCTATCTGCGACAGACAGTTTCTCATTCTGAGAGGCACTTCCCTATGTAAATGGGGGGTTTTGAAGGTACAAAATGTGCACAAGTACTCTGCGTACTGTAAGAGAGGGTGGGAGGCAAATTTTCAAACCCAGACGCTCAGCATTTGCTTCCTATCCTGTCTTACAGTATTCATTTGTACAGCAAGGACAAGTGGCTATGGCACTTGACTAGTATTCAGAAGATGTCGGTTCCATTCCTGACTTTGTTCAGGCCTGCTTGGCAATCTTGAACAAGCAACTTACCTTTGTCTGTGTCTCATTCATAAATTGTGGATAATATTTACCTATTTGGTAAACTGTTTTAGAAGTATGGCTGAAAAACACTATATTACACCTAGATATTGTTATTATTAGTCCCAGTGGCCTCCAACCCTGACTGGGGTCTGTGGGCCCTACCAGAATACAAATTATAAATAATGGTAATTAATATGAATGTGGTATATAGATTGGTTTACACTAGAACTGGATGTGAACCCAATAGGGCAGGTGGTTAAAACCTTTTTGGTTTTGAATACTAAAGAGTTTTGCTGAGAATTTTGTTATGAATTTATCCATATTTCTTGTTTAATTATAAATATTTGGATGACATTTGTATTTGAATCAGACAACGCTTGTAGCCATCTATGAAACATAATTCAGAGATCTTGATGAGAGTTACATTTGGAGGAACAGTAAAGTTTGCATGAGTGTCACTTGCCTCTGGCTCCAGAGGGACACTGAATTAGGACACTATTCCAGGATTAAAATACATTGCTGGCCAACCATCATCAGCTCATAAAAGTCAGAGATCTCCAGAGGGCACAGGATCCAAAGTTAAGACTATGTTGTAGGAGACATGGAGGTCAGAAGCACTCTGTGCAGTACTGGGTGCCCAACATTCCCATACTGTTAAGACATTTCCATATTCAGAAGGAATGGTACAAGGCAAACATTCCAGAGAAATCTTTCAGGCTGTTCTATCAGATATACAGCTAACTACTCTAATTAAAATCTACATTAAAAACTCACAATAAGAAATTTGGGAAACTGATATAAGCTAATTTGATCTTTTATTTCAGCCTATAAGGAAAAGATGAAGGAGCTGTCCATGCTGTCTCTGATCTGCTCCTGTTTTTACCCTGAACCTCGCAACCTGAACATCTATACATATGATGGTGAGTAACCTTCACTGGAAGTAATCCTGCTTGTTAAAATATTTGGCAGTGCTGGGATATGACTCATTTCACCCTCACAGTTTGATATTATTTAATCAATGCTTTGCTGATTTAACAATTCACTTGGGGCATGTCTAAACTACATCCCTCTTTCGAAAGAGAGATGTAAATTAGACAGATCAAAATTGCAAATGAAGCCAGGATTTGAATTTCCCATGCTTTATTTGCATAATGGTGGCCACATGTTCTTTCGAAAAAGGTACTTCAAAACAGAAACCGCTGTCTAGACATGGTACTCCTCATTTTGAGTACAGGAGTACAGGATCTTTCAAAAAAGGGGTTCTACCCCCAAAAAAGAACTACGTCTAGACAGTGGTTTCACTTTCAAAATACCTTTTTCGAAAGACCGCGCGACTGCCATTATGCAAATGAAGCACAGGAAATTCAAATCCCAGCTTCATTTGCAATTTCAATCTGTCTAATTTACATACCTCTTTCAAAAGACGGATGTAGTTTAGACATAGCCTTGCTGTTTCTGGTTGTTAGTTCCTACCAATTGCCTATTCCGCATCATGGTGACCCTTAGATTCTAAAAACATTACTTCAAAATCTCATTTTAAAAAGCCGGCTATTTTATAATGATGTATGGTGTATTTAGTACCTCAAGAAATGCTACCCATCCAGGAAATTGCAAATATTCACAGCTGATTCATTTCTTAAAAAAAAAAAAAAGAGCGAAAAAGAAAATGTGCTTTCCCTAGTAGGCATCAATGAGGGAAATCTTAAATTATTAGTAAACTTGGAATTCTGTCACCCAAGCTTGGGAAACCATATTGTTAAATTGATTATATCTGGGGATTTTTGTTTGTGAGTGGATACATGGGGGTCATGATGGTAAACAATTGAACTACTTGAGGAATTGCATCTCTGAGCTGCATGGGAGGCTGGATAGCAGTCTTAGCACCTGCTTCAGCAACAAAAACAGTGGAGCATCACTAATTCCCTGGGGGGTCAAGAGCTATGCCTGGCCCTCACCAGCATAAAAAGGAGGCAATTTTGGAAGAACATTTTTAAAAAATTAGTTTAATCTCTACTCAAAGCTGCTGGATTGATAGCCTTAGAAACAAATTCTTTATCCATCCATAGGACAGGTACAGCAGGAAACAGTCTGTGCAAACTTCCCCAAGTGATCTGATCATGACATCTCAGCCTCAGATGCATGAATAACTCCAGTTCCATCTACATTCCAATTCAATACTTAGTTTAATTGCTGAGATAAGCAGCAATTTGGTGCCACATTGACAGTGAATTCTCTCAAGTATGGACACTTGTTCATCACTGGGCTGCAATCACCAATTAATTTCACATGACCATGGCCACATGCAGATTATTTTTGGTCAAACAACTGCTTTTTAATTTAACTTTAGAAAGCCAGATTAGGTTTACAAAAGTAGGTTTATTATTATTAAAAGTGTCAAAGGCAAATTAAAGAATTTTTCACACCCAACGTTATACATGTATTTGTCCATACTAATCTCCACTGTCACACATACACACACACACACACCTTTCTAGTTCCAAAATGCCATACATATTTATCTTTATAAGATTAATTTATACTTGCACTTCAACTAACAAAAGGAAATGTACCTCTCAGAAGAGCCATTTTCAGCACATTCTCAGCAGTTTCCTTTACATCGCCAGAGTATGCTATTTTCTCCTCCAATGGTAGGTTTAGCATTTCTAATTTTGTTTCCTAGATATGGAAGTTAAACAAATCAACAAACGTGCCTCTGGCCAGGCTTTTGAACTGATCTTAAAGCCACCATCTCCTGTCTCAGAAGCACCACGGACTTTAGCCTCTCCCAAGAAGAAAGAATTGTCCCGTGAGGAGATCCAGAAAAAGCTGGAAGCTGCTGAGGAAAGGAGAAAGGTATCTTTACTTTTTAGAAGAAATTAGTTGTTGTGCCTTGCCTTATGCAATTGCAGTAAAGTTTCCTATAGTTTCTGATGAAAAGTCACATTGCAGTAATGACACACCTCTCGGGGTATGTCTACACTACGGCACTAATTCGAACTAATTTAATTCGAATTAGTTAATTCGAAATAAGCTAATTCGAATTAGTGCATCTAGACCTAAAAACTAATTCGAATTAGCGTTTTGCTAATTCGAAATAGCATGTCCACATTGAGTGGACCCTGAACCGAAGTTAAG